GTACAAAACCTTTTCTACCAGCCACTGTGGCTGGTGGGAAAGGTTTAATTTCCACCCCTGGTTGTAATCCTATAAAAGTAATATTTGTTGTCTGTCGTTGTAGCTGGGATAATTTTACTTATTAAAGCTCATAATCTTACCACTTGAAACATCACAGCCCTGAAGCTGCTGGTAGACATCGCGGTTGGAATTATCAAAGGTTTTTGACACCTGAGAGACACCGTAGAGTGGGGGTGGGGGGAGGACCAGGGAGGATGATTCAACCACTAGATGTCGCTGAAAACAACAAATCCTACACACTGTACCTTTAAGAGAAGTTTAATTTTTTATTGAATAAAATTCTTGTGACATCAGGTGTATCATTATTAGTGTTTTCAAACCGATTTAAATAATTGTTTTTAATGAAGGAGGAGAGCATGATGAAGGTGATTATTAGTGACAGATTAGTGACAGGAAGTCAGTGAGGTGTCTGCAGTCTGTAAGAACCTGCAACAAGAACCTGACTAAAGCCAACATGTTTCTGTGTTTCTGCCCTCAGATCTTTGTGGTTGTGTGTGGACTGTTGTGTCAGGGCTGAAACACATCCATCTCCCATGAGCCTGTTTGCCCACACGCACACACACGGCGCCTCGACGCACGCACTCGGCGCCCACGCACACACTGACGCCGTGAAGGCCGATCCCAGGCGAGCGAAGCGGAGCAGGTTCTAGCCCACTTGGAGCCTGAGGATGTCAACAGAGTCAGAGCTGCAGCCAGCGCTCAGGCCCAGCAGCGTCAGACGAGACTCCAAGAGGAAAGGTGAGCACAGGTGGCCACAGCCCAGTTACAACTGCAGCCTGAATGAAACGACAAAAACACAATCTTTGTGTGACACGACTCAAAACGTGCTCAGATTGCTTCAGATACTGAGAAAAGCCAGAGAAGCTACAGAACCCTGACTTCAGCTGATCTTCTTTATTTATGACCCATCACGAGGATTAAGTGTGAAAGTTACACATGGAGAAAAAAAGGCAAATATAGTGTTTTGACTAAAATGTTAACAAAAATTGCATTTTGTCAAAATATAATGAATAAAAGTCTAATTAAAGAGTAACTTACCCCTAAATCAACTTTTTTTAGCTGATAAACTGTCTAGAATGTGTCTAAAATGTTATATAGTACTGTTTCTGTGCTAATTTTGATGTATTTGTGCGTATTTGTTCAAATCTGTAATATTTGGTCTAAAAACGT